TCGATCAAGCGCCAACTGGAGTGCTAAAACAACGAAAGATTGTTAACTGCAGTCGCCAAATTAATAAGTTAAAGAGTTAGTTGCTATATTTGTAAAAAATTGAGGGTCTCAATGGTAATATTCTTTATATCACACAATGACTAATAGAAAAATAAGTTAAAAAAAATATTTATGGTGCATTTGATTGATAATATTTTCCATGAAACATATGTTTTTTCCACTTAATTTCCTATTTTTGTTCATCATTTTTTTCATGGAAAATATTTTCCTACTTTTAGTCATGTGATCATATTTTCCTTGAAAGCAAGGAATTTTTTTTTAGGGAAATGTGGTTTTTAATTTTCAGATAATTCAAGGTCTCTTTCTCTCTCCCATCTATCCCATCTCTCTAATCTGTTGGAAATATGTAATAAAATCTGTTCAGTACAAAAATAACATAAAAAGTGGTCCTCATTTGATTAACATTTTAATTACAATGAACGTCCCCATCCTTTGTTAATTTTTACACTTACGTTCCCAATCGTTTTGTCACATTCTTATCCTCGGTTTCTGCTAGTTTGCAAATCTATCTTTCATGATAATTTTTGTCTAAGAAATTCGTTAGTAAGCTGTAAAAATACTTATTTGCCTATCGTAATTTTAAATAAGTAATATAAAAATTGACGGGTATTTTGCCCCTCATTTCGATGCACGTTATCATAATATTTTGAACAAAAAATCGTCATCGGAGACAAGATGTACTCATTAAATGAAAGGTTAAAAAATTGAGAACACAAGTGTTAAAATGAGTAAAAATTAGAGGCCTTTATTGCAATTAAAATGTTGTGCAAATAAAAATATTGTGTAAATATAATAACTCGTATATATGGATGTTTAAATTTGAGAAAAGATGTGAGTTATTACTAGATACAGTAAAAACAAAAGAGATTGATCGTTGAAGTTTTTATACCCGATTCAGTTATTAGTATTTTACCGTGGTTATTTATGTTAGTAAGAGTAACGTATAATTTGACGTGACATAAGTTAAGTAGATCAAGCGCCAACTGGAGTGCTAAAACAACGAAAGATTGTTAACTGCAGTCGCCAAATTAATAAGTTAAAGAGTTAGTTGCTATATTTGTAAAAAATTGAGAGTCTCAATGGTAATATTCTTTATATCACACAATGACTAATAGAAAAATAAGTAAAAAAAAATATTTATGGTGCATTTGATTGTTAATATTTTTCATGAAACATATGTTTTTTCCACTTAATTTCCTATTTTTGTTCATAATTTTTTTCATGGAAAATATTTTCCTACTTTTAATCACGTGATCATATTTTCCTTGAAATCAAGGAATTTTTTTTTAGGGAAATGTGGTTTTTATTTTTCAGATAATTCACGGTCTCTTTCTCTCTCCCATCTATCCCATCTCTCTAATCTACCCACCAATAAAAATAAATAAATATAATATTTTTTTAGGTTGAAAACTAAATCAATCAAACACATTTAATTAATAATTTTCATACAAATAATTTATAGGCAATTGAATTATCTAGAATTTATTTTCTTTCCATACTCGCAATCAAATGCACCCTTAGCAAGTGAAAAACGTGTTTTAAATGGGTAAAGACATGTAAAATGCGACTTATGCTTATTTGATGATTGAATTAACGGTATTGTATTTGGTATATTTTAATGGTGTTTGGTTATATCATAATTTCAAGGGACAACGGAGGAAAGGTAGAGGAATAAGAGGTAAAACCTTTAAAGAGAGAGAACTACACAAGAAACTGAAGGCCTTAGAAGTGTATGTGAAAGTGAAACTATACGAAATCCTTCCGGCATCCCTTTAGAGAAAGGTCAAAGAAAGTGCCCGCTAAGTTGGGACTTCTCCACGTATTTCAGCTAATTAGATAGCAAAAAATAACAAACAATACCATTTAGGCTGTGTTTGGCAACGCTTAAAATCTTCAAGAAATTCATTTTTTGACCGTTAGTTTCTTTCATGTGGGTCCCGACTGTGAGATGACTGGTCCAAAACTACGGCTGCAACGGTCAAAAAATGGATGAAAAGCAGCTAAAAATCCATGGCAGACACCCTCTTAGTTTGCTGTCAACCTCAAGATTGCGATCCTCTTTAGACGGTCTGTTAGTGATATCGACTTGAATTTATATTTTTTGTCTAGTGTTTGAAATTTATGTACGACATCTTTAGGATGATCAAACACTAGACTAGATCTCTAATTTAAATAATCTTCCATTTTCAACAAATGAACGAAATCCTTATCTAGAGAGTTCGGTATATTACCAACACGAGATCGTACACATTCTTTACAAATCGAACCAACATAGGAGACCTCAATCACAATTTAAATTGGGTCCACTTGCACTCCATATTTTAAAATTGTGGATTTTAAATTTAATTAATTACCAACTCTGTACATTAATTTAAATATTAGACCATCAAGAACGAAAATTGATCTGAATTGCAGTTAGAATAAAGTTAGTTGTACAACCTTGATTTGTTCACAACTTGGTTGACAACTAGTGTATTGGAAAGATTCTTACAATTGATTTCAAAAATAGTTTTCAAATTAATGGAAATGATATTTGTCAACTCACAAGTTGCAATTCAAGCTGTAAATGAAGTTGTACAAGTAGTATGATCATTAAAGTTAAAATCGCACGACGTCGAAAAAGAAATTCCTTAGTTTTGGTCTCCGCTCATTAGGTCTTATATAGACTTAGCCGCTTAGCGTTTGTTCTTCACCCCCGATTCCGCCTATGAAACTATTTTGGTATTTTTGCACAAGCAGTTTTTGTACTTTCAATCAGGTCCAAGACTTTTTTATGAAGCTCTCAAAGGAACTCGACCAGAACTAGATAATTTAATCTTCATTAATTGTTATTCACTCACTCCACTAAAGATGAAAATGCACTATTAATTTGTATGAAATCACAGTAGCAATGTTCTTTTAGTTTCCAATAATTACATCCCATTGACTTACCAAATATACGTCTTACCCCAAAGGATATTGAATGACAAGATTGGGACTTAAATGACCATTTTGCCCTCCAATCATTTTCTCACTTAAGCTTAGGCCTGGGCGTCGGGTGGGTCGATTCGGGTGTTTCATTACCTGGAATCACCTATTATATTTCAAGTATTTCGTAAATAGAACCATTCGAGTTTTCGTAAATATTGGAATCAACCCAAATCTGAATCGTCAGTTTCGATTTTACCAATAACATTTTTTCATACTTTTAATAAACATTTTTCATACATGTTATTTCAGTACATATACCTAATACGTTACTACTCAAAAAAAAAAAAAAATTGCAATGGAGAAAATTCAGTTAATATATCTTTAAGGAGCCAATAGTGACTACTAAAAACCGTGAAAATAGGAGAAAATTAAAACATCAATGGACTTAGTTATGAAATGCTTAAATTCTTCTACTATTAAAATGAGCCGACATAAAAATACTAATTAGATATATAAAAATATATTATCAAAAAAAAAATACGGTCCACATATTGAACTCACTCTATTTGAGTAAAAAAATGAAAAATTATATTTAAAAAAAAGAATCACTAACTCAAGATAATAAAAAAGTACATCATAGCTCAAACAATGAATATGTCAAGTTCAATCGTCGTGCATTATGAATTTTTTTTTTTTTTTAAATCAATTAAGTTTGTAAAAGAGGCAAGAAAGTAAAAAGCTTGAATTGTAAAGAATGAACACTTTAATTCATCAACTTACACTACAATCTGTATTGAGTTTTTTGATTTATAAAAAGTCCAAACTATAAAGATTAATATGTGGTAACCTTTGAAATGCAACAATCAGATGTGAAGCGAGATGTAAAAAAGTAGGAGCCAATAGTGATTTCTTAGGGCTAGAGTATAAAATTTGAGACTAATTACTATCTAAATTAGGATTTTATAGGTTTTATATTTTTTTATGCAGTCTATAAACTGTAAATAAAAAATTATATAAAAATTGGTATCATTCTGGTACCTACGATTCTAATTCAATAGTCAAGAACTAAAAATCCCTACCAAACAAGCACTATGCATATTGGTCATGTCCAATACTTTTTTGAGTGTGTTAGTGTCATTATCTCCAATACCCATTCGAAAAAAAAATAGGAAGCCCGCATATAAAAATGGTAGAGTAACTAAGCAATGTGAAGTTATCTGAACAAATTGACATTCTTCATTCCATGAACAAATCAATTCTCGATTGAAATACGAGTCACATCCATCTGCACTTCTCTATGTAAGCACTTAATGCATGTTATCACAATTACAACGAATGCTTAATATTATAAAATACAATAAACGTTGAAGCCATATAAAATAAATAAGAAAAGTTTTTGGACATGCATTCCAACTTTTGCTAGCACTTGACCACATTCTCAAAGTATCATAAATCAGGCTATAAGTACATTTTTTTTGATATCAAAGTTTGACAATGTGCCATATGTTGAAGGTTGAGTGACCAGTTTTTAAACACTACACACTTTCCTATCCATTCGAATTTGAATTAACATGAATTGTCAAATTCCTTATCAACCATGAATTGTATACAAAGCATTACTTTAAATGGAATATTCTCTACCGTGCAATTTCATTAGTTTAATGTTAATTTAACTGTAGTATAAGGCATGTGGGAAGATCATCAATCCTAAGTACGAATTTGTTGGATTGACGTGATCAGGGAATTGATAGCAGTGCTAGATGACGGTTCTCAAAAACGCTCCATTGATTCAAGTTCGTAATACATTTTCTTCCCTTTGTTACGAAGACATCTAAGCAATCTTGTCAAACTAGGCAAAGTAATCAAAAAAAAAAAATGAATAACGCTTCGTGTACAATCCATGGTTGACAAGGAAGTTGACAATCCATGTTAATTCAAATTCGAATGGGCGAACTATATGGAATCTCAAAATTCCAGCAAAAGTACGCAACTTTCTCTGGCGAGCATCACAACTAGTACTTCCTANCAAAATGTGGCATATTGTCAAATTTGATGTCAAAAAAATTGTACTTGTAGCATGGTAGATCCCATTTAAGGGAATTGCATCAAAATGAAAAAAATACAAGAATTTTTTAGAGGTCGGCGTTCAAATTTATAACCGTCCGTACATTTCCTTGTATATATTCACGAATAATCTTTTTGTTGCTGCATCACAACGCACTAATACTGGTATTGTCATTTTCTCTGGGTTCAATTCATTTTTTAATGGTCTGGGTTCAAATTTATAACTTCACATCTACGATTTTCTGATTGTAACTTCGGAATTACGCTTTACAGTAGATACTGGCGGTTCCATAGACCCGGACAGCTCGCGTCTCACTACAAATCGAAGGGCCCAGCACCCAGACCCATTTTCCTCCAAAGTAAAATCGGACGGCAACCCTCCTCTCGTTGTTGCCCATTTCTAAGGTAATAGCTTTTTCCCACTGATCCCTTGCAGTTAGTGAAGTGAAGCAATGCCGGCGTCTGTGAGGGCCGGGAAGCATCGGGATGTTGCTATTTCAGTCTGTTTGCCTGGGTCATTGTTTTATTGTCCAATTTTTTGATTTTGACTTTGTGCCTTGTGGCACTATATATTATCAATTTATTCAATCCTCGGCGTTTCTGAACTTAATTCATGCATTTGTGTTCCGTTCTTAATTCATTCTAATCTTCATCCTCAGGACCTTTGAGGGTTTTGGATTTGGTACACTCGAGTTTATATTTTTGAAAAAAATTCCCTTCTCTGATTTTTAGCCCGTGTTAGGTTTTGCTAAAGAAATCAGATTTTTAGTAGTTTTTGGTAAAAGTTGATGAAATGCGTGCTTAAAAATTTGATAAAAGTTCTGGCCAAGAAATGCTGGGTTAAAATTAATTGTTGACTTTATTTAGGTGTTTATCGACATTTTTAGCTAAATCAAACAAGGCTTTTGGATTGATGCTTATGCGTTTCCTATGAATGCACTACTTTTTTGTTTTTGGTGGAATTACTCATGTTTACTGGGTTGTACTGCTGTTTGAACATTTATAATTATTTTGCTTTTGTTTGTTTCTGTCTGTTTTGATTTGCTATTTCAATGTACTCGAATCTTTTCTTTCTATATTTCTCCAAAGCGTTCATAATAACAACTATAATTTGTTAAACACGTGTTGAAATAGCGGGAAAACAGTTATTTGGCTGCTATAAATGTTACCAATACATAAATAAATAGGAAATAAATGTACTATTGGCAATTAGAGTTGTATAATGAGTCTGCAACACCAGAAATCATCAAAATTTCCGTTAAATCGTCAAGTAGTTCTTACATGTCCACCTTTATGAAGATTAAATTACGTTTCTCGACTTGGACCGGTGTCTAGAAATTTGAAGTGAGGCATGCTAGCATGGAGGTTATGAATTAAAGTGTATTTGGACGGTTTAGATCGTTGGAGACTGATCGTGCAATTATACTAAATGGTATACTCGGGCAATAGGAGCGATGCAATTTTTCCCCCAAAATATCAACTTCCAAAGTGAGCTAGATAAAGAAATCAGTAACTTATTGTAAGTCTTTTATGTACTAACTATTTTTTCCCTAACACTGGTTTCAGGACATGGATAATGTATCAGCCAATGGGCTTCGTTTCCGGAGAATTCCTCGACAATCATTTTCTACTAGTATTAAGGTGGACCCACCGGTGAGTCTGACATATACACTGTTAGATATCTAATGTTCATGCACATTTGGATGTACTTTACTTCCGAAAAAGAAAAAAAAATTATTTGTCTAGAATTACTCGTTTGAGATTTGAAATTTCCTCGTTCTGGTATTATCAACTGTCATAAGATAATATCTGCTTACCAACTTGTATTAGAACTTTATGTTTAGTAGCTTTATTATGGTACTGGTTCTGTTTTGGATTTATCTACCTGCAAATGCTGCATAGCCTTGTCAGTCGCACTGGTATTCAGTGTCCTGAATTATATGCAAGATAGGCTGATTCCTCAAGTATTTGATCAGCAAAACTATAGCGCTATTGATTTGGCATTTTTTCCAGCTTGATGAAAACTTGGAGCAGTGGCCACATATGAACGAACTTGTTCAAAGCTATGGTTCTGAATGGGTTAAAGATGATTACAAGTATGGGCACTATGAAAGCATTGCCCCCATCTCATTTCACAATCAGATATTCGAGGGACCTGATACCGATATTGAAACAGGTTAGTAGACAATAATTCTATACACCCATTAGGAGAACATTTTATGGATTCAATAGTGCTGGAGTTGTTAAGTTATAGGAACTCATCATCTTTCTAGCAAGTATGATCATAATATTTTTTACTTTATTCTCACAAAATAGACTTGAATCCTCAGTATCTGTTAAAATACAAAAAGTTTTATGCATGCTTTATTAGTGTTGTGTGGGTATCCCCCTACACCACCCCATCTAATTCTATTGCATGGTTGTGAGTTGCAACCTTGTGAATGATTGAACAATCATCCTGTAAACCTATGGTCTTCTGTAAATAGACTGGAACTGAATATTTGTATTTTCACAATACTATGTACATTTGCGATAACTAATAATGTTTTTCTGAATGATTTTCAGAAATGCATCTTGCTAATGCTAGAAGAACTAAGATAGAAGATTCCACCGATGAAGAAATGCCTAGTACATCTAGGCATCACTTTTCAGAAGAAAACGTCTACGAGTCATCAAATGCAAAAATTTCCAAGGTCTTCACCGAGCCATACTTTTTGTAGTTCATGCATCTGGCATGTGTGATACTGCTTATTTATTTTTACATTATTTTAAGTTACTTGCAGAATTTTGGAGAATTCCAACGTCTTCACTGAGAAATACTTTTCGTAGTTCATGCATCTGGTGTCTGTGATACTGCTTAAATATTTTTACATTATTGTAAGTTACTTGCAGCATTTTGGGGAATCTCCTTTGCCAGCTTATGAACCTGTCTTTGACTGGGAAAATGAGAGATTAATGATCTTTGGGCAAAGAATTCCTGCAACTAACACATCTCAGTATACCAGGTCTCTCTCTCTCTCTCTCTCTCTCTCTCTGTGCGTGTGTGTGATCTCTAGTTACATCTATCTTTGTTTTCTCTCATTTTTTTGGTATTCTCGATATGCTCTCTCACAATATGTCTGTTTGTTGTTGCAGTGGGCTAAAGATTGCAGTGAAAGTGTTATCCTTGACATTTCAGGCTGGGCTTGTTGGTGAGTCTGTACATTTGTATAGTCACTGCTGGCTTGTTTCTTCCACTGTTCCTTTTGATTTAGTTTTTGAGCTGCACACCGTTCCATAGCTGAGATACAGAAGTTTTTTTGTAGAGCCATTTTATGGCACAATTTGTTTATATAATAGGGAGAGAAGGGAAAAACTTTCGGAAGATTTCATTTTCCGCATGTTGCCAGCTGAAATACAAGATGTAAGCTAGTATTACTTTCCTGTTTTCACTCATCTTTGTTGTTCGGAAATTATTGGAAATGAATTTTGCTCTCTGTCAACTGCCCTCCTCAACACCCCACACCACCCCCACCACCACTGCCACCTCCCTACAGGAAAAAAAAAAAAAAATTATAAACAAGATCATTGTTGCAATTTATTGTGTTCTGGTTCATGATGTCAATGCTGTAAGAAATTTACTCTTTCTTATGTTTCCATCAACAGACTAGCAGTTCTTCTGAAGCACGTTGTATTTTCCATCTAGATGCTCCATCAGCATCAGTCTGTCTGCTTATCCAGTTAGAAAAGTCAGCTACTGAAGAAGGAGGCGTGACTACCTCTGTATACTCTCGTAAAGAACCAGTAAGCGGAGAACATCTATAAATTTAAACTGATGATTTTAATTCCTCAGATGCATAACTTACTTTAAATAATGTTTGGCATGAAAATTAGATCCAGCAATTTTTATTGAACTTGAAAGTTGACTTTAGTTTCCATTTGTTTGACATGAAAGACAGGACAGAGGAAAATATTAATCCGATTTCCGAGTTTTTACTTGGTTAAACTAGGAATCTGTATACTTTTCATAAAACTTTGTTGAAGCAATAATACCTTTAACGCGCACACACATTATGTACATATTCGTCTCTATGTTAGTTATTCACCCGTACACTCAACTACTACAGAGTGCTTTTGTTTCTCTATTACGTAAGTTTTTACCTGAACAGGTTCATGTGACTGAAAGGGAGAAGCAAAAACTGCAAGTCTGGTCTCGTATCATGCCTTATAGGGAGTCCTTTGCCTTGGCAATCATCCCACTTTTTGATAGTGGTGTTACCATTGTTTCTGGTGGATCTACATCCCCCAGCAGTCCACTCACTACTAGCATGTCAGGTTCAAATTTTCAAGAGGGTGCTCCTGAACCAGTTGCAAAGATCACATTAGATGGAAAGCTAGGCTACTCAAATGGAAACTCTGTTGTGGTTGAAGTGTCAAATCTAAACAAAGTTAAAGAATGCTATACGGAGGACTCGATCCAGGTTAATCCACTCTCGTGTTTTGTGTAGTTACACTTGCTTAAATTTTCAATCTGTCATTCACTATTTCTTTTGATTTGTCATTGCCCTTTTTTTTATCTTTTCTCCTCCCTATTCTATGTCTGTGTCTCTTCTTATTTTTTGGAGCGGGCCCCATCCGTTTTTATGCTATTGCATTGATTAATGTTTAAAACCTGAACATAATTTGCTGCGATATTTTATGTTTCTCATTGAACTGATTTTCTCCCATTATTAGGATCCTAAGCGTAAGGTTCATAAACCAGTGAAGGGTATCTTAAGGTTGGAAATTGAAAAGCTCCAAGCTGGCATTGTGGATTTTGAGAAAGCTTTGGACAATAGAAGTATAAACCCTTATCTGGTGGACCATGGGAATCGCTTAACTGACCCTGGATCTGATGGACCTCAGAATGTTGATTTAGAGTCACATTCCTTTGATAGGAAAGAGCTGGATCAAAATGGATCAACTTTTCACAGAAATCCTGATATTGACAATGACGTAAGTGTTATTTATATTTTTCTGCTAAAACTAACTTGTATTTGTAAGAGTGATGGGACATCTAGAAGATTATTATATGCATACTTTCCATGTTTAGATCCTTATTTTAGGAAAAATTATAATTGTTTATTTACTAGATTTCTTAAGATTTTATTATGTTCATTTACTAGATTCTCTAGGATATGATTGGATGTTTCCTACTTAGAATAAGATTTTTGAAACCCTATATAAGGGGGGCTTATGTATGTTTATTCACTCACCGAGCATGAACCGTCTTGTTATATTTGCAGTTCCAAGCATTCGACTTCCGTACAACATCAAGGAATGAACCTTTCTTGCAGCTTTTCCATTGCCTTTACGTCTATCCCTTGACAGTTAGCATTAGTAGAAAAAGGAATTTGTTTATACGGGTTGAATTGAGAAAGGACGATGTAGATATCCGCAAACCACCTCTAGAGGTAGGTTGCATTAGCTATGCTCTCGAAGCGATTGGTAGAATGGATCTGTTGCTTATGGTTATTATTGAACAGGCAATGCATCCGAGGGAACCGGGCGCTGTACTTCAGAAATGGGCTCATACTCAAGTTGCTGTTGGGGCTAGGGTTGCTTGCTACCATGATGAAATCAAAGTTTCTCTACCTGCTGTTATGACCACGATGCACCACCTCTTGTTCACTTTCTTTCATGTCGACCTTCAAACAAAACTAGAAGCTCCAAAACCTGTAAGTGCAATGATTTTTATTTGCTTTTGAGGATAAGCCGTCAGGTCTGCCATTCACCACTCCTTTACCTTTTGAAATGGGAAAATAAAGAAATCCCCAGTCACTGTTATACTTGATTTCGAGTTTAGTTTCTTGCATATCTGCTATAAGTCATATTTTGTTACCGTGTTTTCTAATACCTTTTGATATCATGCTTGTCTTTGAAGATTGTAGTTTTGTATTTTTATTGCAGGTGGTGATAGGATATGCTTCTCTACCCTTATCCACCCATGCACAGTATGTGTTAAATAGCTCATGTCCGGTGTCTTATTTTACAGTTGCATGAAGATTATTTTATCATTCTTGTCACTTTACCTGCTGCTAGCCTGGCTTCTATCATCTTCACTAATCATATATGTAAATGCTTTAGTGATGAGAAACGTGGTAGAACTTACTTTTTATGCTGCTAATACAACTAGTTTCATTCCATTTGATTACTGTAAATGATTTCAATTAATTGCAAAACCCAAATATGATTTTTAAAGTTTGTAAGGTTAGGTTGTAAAACTTTTCAAAGTTTCTAACTATATTTTGCAGAAACAATCATATCTTATATGGCAATGATATGTGCAAAAGACACAGGCAGAAAATGATGATTTTAATTTGTTATTCAAATTGATTATTCCATATTAAAATATGGCAAGTAAAGTTTGATATTTATACATATAGATGAATTATGATTTTTTTCCCCAAAAATTACAGAAAATATCAACCTAATACCAGGATGGAAAAATAAATAGAAACTTGGGTATGATAAAAATGGAAATGAAAACTTCAGGATAAGAATGCATCTTATTTCCCAGATAATAGTGTATATATAATGTTTGAATAACGATTAATTTGTCCTGGAATGAATTTTCCTATGTATTTACGTATTTTACATATAATTATGAACATAATGTATTTGTTACTCCGAATCCACCAAGATTTTCATGGAAGTTAGATATATAATTATTTGATACAAACATATTATTTGGACACACAGTATTACAGTTAGTTATTATGTTAAGTTGGAGCCTGAAGTAGTAGCATAACAAATTTTATTATGACAGTTTTTCCGGTCACAACCAAATGCATTTCTTCTATACACTTTTCAAAACTATGCTTACTGAAAGTACATTTTGGCTATTCCTTCTGAGGGAAAAATGATTATAAAATATCCAAATTTTTGAAATTTCACCTAAAACTTATGCCAATTCATCTCATTCAATTATGGACTGAGGGTCTTAAAACCTGTTCTCCTTGAAAAATTGAGGTTTCAAATAGAAATAGAAATTATAGATCCTCATACAAGAGCTTGTAATCTTATTTTTTGATCCAAAAAGTACAGTTGTAAGCTCATTTTGGACTTCACATGCATGTTTTTCACTATTAAAAGTCAAGTTTGTGCCTTTGTGCTATTTGAATGTGTTTCTTCAAAGCTGGGCTTTTTATTTGAAATCTTCATAAATTATTGTTAACAATTTGATTGGATTTTTAAACATACAAAATTTCAAGATGACATAACGTATTTTGATGGTTAAATGCAGGTTAAAATCTGAAATTTCATTACCCATTATGAGTGAATTGGTTCCGCAGTATCTCCAAGATAGTGGCAGGGTACGTTTCCGACAGCAGCTTGATTCTAGTTATGTATATTAGCGATTTCCCTTTTGGTTTTTCTAGAAATGTCAACCTTGTGCAGTTTCCCATTTAGTGATTGAAAGAAAACATTGTATTTTGTGGTCAATAATTTCCTCCGTTAGCCCTACCTTCTCCCTCCCTTCTCCCCAATTAAAAGAAAATGTCGGGTTATGGGCAGGGAAAAATAGAGATGCACGAATGTTGTTGAGAAGTGGTAATCTCCAACAGAATTAGTCACTGGCTGGTGTATGTACCTATTAGATTTGTTCAGTTGCAAGTTCGATATTTATATATTGTTATCTTTGGGTTATGATTGTTCGGTCTACTTACCATGACAGAGGGAAGGAATGAAGGAAAGAGGTTCATAAAGTAGAGGCACTGAAAATTTCTTATGTGCCCAACATCAGTAGTTGTAATATAAGGGTCTTTGTCAACTGATAAGAGAATGGTGAGATGAAATGGCTGCTCTCTTAGTTTCTCATATGTCACGTAATTTAGGGGCTGTTCTCTTCATGAATTTACTTTCTCCCAAAATGCATTTACTTTCTCCCCTGAATTTTCTCTCTCGTGTTTCTCTCTCTTTTCCCCTCTTTTTGTGGTGGTGGCCTGTGGTTGGTGATCTAGTGGTTGTGTGGTGGTGGTGTATTGTGTGGCGGCGGTTTTTGTGGTGGTGGCGATGGTGATGGTTTTGGGGACGGTGGTGTTGGTTGGGGTGATGGGGTGATGTTGTGGCTGTGGTGGTGGTTCCGACGATGGTGGTGGTTGGGGCGGCGGCGGCTGGTGGTGTTTTGTAGGCGGCAATGGTGGTGGTTGGGGGTGATAGTAACTGAAAACAACGAAAACGCGTTTTGAAAATGTTGGCTAAGTTATAATTAAAGACACCCAAAACGATAAATTTGTCGTTTTGGGTTTTCTTTGTAAATTTTAAACTTGTTTGAAAAAATGCGTTTTTGAAAATAGGAAAGAGAATGCGTTTTTATTGTCTTGGAAAATCGAAAACAGAAAACGGCTTCAAAAGAGCAAAGAGAACATGCCCTTAGTTATTAGAAGAAACATTTGAGGTGAATGTGGGCCGGCGGTTGGATTTGGACTTTTTCCGAAACTAAGGGCACCACTTGGATTTGTTACTTTTTTGGACAATGTAATCCAGCAGAAATTTGATTCGCAAGGGAGGATCATCTCGGCTTCATGCTTACTGTATTTAGTTATAGGAGGTTTTTATTATAAATGATAATATGTAATAAGTACATGATCATTGTCTATGTTTTTGGATTTCAACCTTGTAAGAGTTCTTGTCAACATATGGATGTGTTGATCACTAGTTTTAGTGAGTGTTTTGCACCCGTTTTAATGGGAATAGAAATTTTGGAATAGTGATTGATAGAGAATGTGCGGTGGAAAAGTGATGAAAAATTTTAGAGTGGTGTGTAATATTATTTTATTTGCCGTCACTCTACAACTGAAGTAGAGCTTTGTGAAACGGGGGCGTATCCTGTTCTGTTCCGATGAAATTGCAGAAGAATGGGGTAGACACCGTGAAGGGCAAAGGCTCGTATGCGGCGGTAGTTTCCTCCA